CTCACCAACCAATGCACTACGTCGCTATGTTCGACGAAAAACGTCACGAACTGTCGCCGCAGGAGCACAGGTGTGTATCCTGTAGTTGTGGGGCTCGATCTGTTAGGGAGAAGGTGAGTAGTAGGTGAAGACGACGAAAAATCGAAAAACAAGAGGTGAAGAGGCCGACAGGTGGCTGGCGCCACGCAAGCACCCTCCACTGCAAACGTGTGGCCCTTTTCCTCACCGAAAAGCTTGAGCTTTCACACCAGAACTGAACAAGGGAGTCAGAGAGAAAGGCTGGACGAGGAAAACAACGTCAAACGTCGGAGCAAAAGCTGCCAATGAGGCTGAAATGGTAAACGTCCTGAGAAAGGTGGAGCACGAGTGAGCGTCTCGCACGGTGTGGGCAAAAACAGACGTGATCAAGTTGATCAGGACCTTTGCCAACATTTCTCGTACTGATCGCCTCCGTCTCGCAAGAACACTTGTGTGTCGCTTTCCGGATATCTCCGCTTTTACAGTACCTGTTCATGCAGACCCGGTCCCAAAACACTTTCACCCGTTCTTCGCCTGTTTGTTTCATGCTTTTACCTCTGCAGTACGAGGGTCAACTTTTGGCCGCCTCGTGCTTGCCTTGCAATTTGTTCCTTTACTCTGCTTCGTTTGGTTGCAGTACCACCAACCCAGCATCATGAACAAACTAGCCGAGAACGTTCGATAGAGAACAAGTTTCTGTTTGGTTGCATGCACGACATCACTTGCTTCAAGCCCCGCCCCCCCATGGCCGGCGTAGACCGGATATAATCGCCAGCTGGAGCCATGGTTTTCATTGTATACCTGAGACCATAACAACAGCACAATATAACAAACAACGAAAACTAGGTATATCGCTCTACGGACGTATCTCCGTGCACACTCAATGCAAGTGTAGAACCTTTCGTTCAATCTCGTCGTCACTGACTGACATTTCTTGAATTTTCAATGCGATTGATTTCTCATGAAGCCAACGGACCGGACCACGAAGGTGGAATCCTGACTATCAAGAAACTGAAATACAGTTGCATTGCGGTTGCGCGACGTCCAAATCAACGTCTGGGTTGTACTGAACTACTCTATGCGCCATGTACTAAACATACAGGAATCAAATCACTGAGAAACAACTCTGGCAACAGCGTGATACATCAAGAAACCAAAACATAGGTGAGACGCGGTTGTGCGCCATCGACATTGCTCCGTACGCCTTCAATGCAGGTCCGGAACCTTTCGTTTCGTTTCCTCAGCAACGTCTGTGCTTTCTTGAGTTTACCTGTGAACCAGTTCACATAGAATTACTGGACTGATCCACTAGGATGAATCCTGACAATAACACAGTAATTATGTTAAGAACGGGCTGTACGCTATTGTTATTCTTACGGGAAACAAGAGAAGAGAAGGGAGCGAGAAAAGAGAAGAGATCAAAAGGAATGCAATTTTAATGGGAAAAACAATGAAAAGAACTGAAGAGAAATGAAGAAAGGAGAAGGAGGCGCAGAACTCATTCAAAGACAAGATGCTGCTCGTCTTTATCTTTCCTCCCATTGTTATCCTTTTCTTCTCTTGTTCTCCCTTTCAAATAAAAACAAGAAGAACAATGACACTGCGAAGGAACTCGCTTTCTGTTTCCGTTTGGGAACCGTTACAAGGAAAATACCAGAGGTGATAGGCCGAGAGGAGGGATATGCTGAAGCATGTAGAAGGTCCTCGGGCAAGGAGCCAACTCTGCTCTCCTTCCCCATCCATTGAAACAAGAGAAGAAAAAAAAGGGCGTCCATTCCCTTCTTATTGTTCTTATCTTGTGTTGTTGTCATTTAATTAAGGGCAAAACGGTGAGGGGTAACGGCCTGCGGGGGAAGGACAGCCCTTACGCGAACTTCGTTTTAAGCAAACGGCTGCCGCGAACTTCGTAGAAGGTCCGGGGGTTCGTAGTGGGTTCGTGGGATTCTGTGTCTTCGGCAACAGCTGTGGGTAATGTGAGGATTGTGAAGCAGCAGGGGGGCTGGGGGGACAACGTGATTCTGGAGAACTTTGTTTGTAGTAATCAATCAAATGCATCTACTTTTTCAAAGGAAGCTTTTCTATGGCTCCAACAGAGAAACAAAAATAAATTGTATTAGCAGGAATCAAGAAATCAAAAACACCACTGCAAAACCTGGGTGTATCTTTAAATTACCACCGCAGCCTTTTGGACATGAAATGACATGGACACAGCAGGGGGAGCAGGCAGGGTGTTTCATTTTGATTGGCAGTCAGGATATTCGGAAACTATCCTTCCAATTGGTAGAACATATCTAGTAAAGGTTCACATAGACGTTTGCTCGACAAGTATGAATCATTCTTAGTGGATTCCACAAATAGAATTCAATTAAACCGAATCGAAGGCGAAGCCGAAGTCGTCGCCAGGAGAGAGACCAAGACGCCGGGAGATCCATCAACCTGGGCAGCTGTCATGACACGGTTGTCTGAACAAGAAAAGAATCGGCGAGGCAACTTCCTGCAGTTAACATCCTTCCGACATGAGCGAAACTGTGATTGAGTTGCGGGCTGAGAAGTCCCGGTTTCGGCATAGCCTGGCAAGCAGCAACAATGAGAAACAACAGGCTTGAGCGATCAACCAAATTTGCCGCACAGTCAGCCGAGACAGCAGTATTTTTTCATGCCTTGAGGCGGCTTCAGAGAGATTTTCACAGTCAGCCTACCGCCAGCCATGCACTTGCATCCCCATGTTCGACAATGGCAAGGCCTTCAGTGGAACGACGATTTGCATCCTACTACTACATGTTATGAAAACATGAGTATGTATGTGTACATCACACGACCAAGGCCACAGCGAATGACATGGAGAATTCAGTGTCCGGGCTGGCCCCAGCGGCGACATGCCATCCGAGATCATGAAAATCTGAAGCTGTGAATGAGATTTTCACAGTCAGCCTACCGCCAGCGATGCACTTGATCCCCATGTTCGATAATGATGGCAAGGCCTTTAGTGGAAGGACGATTTGCATCCTACGACTATATGTTAGGTATACATGAGTATGTGTACAGTACACGACCAAGGCCACTGCGAATGACATGGAGAATTCAGTGTCCGGGCTGGCCCCAGCGGCGACATGCCATCCGAGCTCATCAAAATCTGAAGCTGTGAGTTAGGCTACCGCCAGCGATGCACTTGCATCCCCATGTTCGATGATGGCAAGACCTTTAGTCGAAGGACGATTTAATGCATCCTACTACTAACATGAGTATGTAAACAGTATACGACCAAGGCCACAGCGAATGACATGGAGAATTCAGTGTCCGGGCTGGCCCCAGCGGCGACATGCCATCCGAGCTCATGAAAATCTGAAGCTGTGAGTGAGGCTACCGCCAGCGATGCACTTGCATCCCCATGTTCGATGATGGCAAGGCCTTTAGTGGAAGGACGATTTGCACCCTACTACTAAGATGAGGATGTATACAGTACACGACCAAGGCCACTGCGAATGACATGGAGAATTCAGTGACCGGGCTGGCCCCAGCGGCGACATGCCATCCGAGCTCATCAAAATCTGCAGCTGTGAGTTAGGCTACCGCCAGCGATGCACTTGCATCCCCATGTTCGATGATGGCAAGGCCTTTAGTCGAAGGACGATTTGCATCCTACTACTGACTGACTAACATGAGTATGTGTACAGTACACGACCAAGGCCACAGCGAATGACACGGGGACTTCAGTGTCCGGGCTGGCCCCAGCAGACAATCTCTCATCAGGCTAGAGAGTCACTGCAAAAACAACGGCCTTTGTCGAATACGACGTGTTGCAGTAGTACATCACCACTAGTCTAGTAGTAGTAGTACTACTACTACTACTACTACTACCACTACCACTACTACTACTAGTAGTACTACTACTACTACTACAACTACTACTACCTTTAGGACTACTAGTACTAGTCGTACGAGTGCTAATACTACAACGACTACTAGTACTACTACTACTACTACTACTACTACTACTACTACTACTACTACTACTACTACTACTACTACTACTACTAGTACTACTACTAGTACTACCACTAGTACTACTAGGACTACTACTACTAGTACTACTACTGCTACTAGTACTACTACTACTACTACTACTACTACTACTACTACTACTACTAGGACTAGTACTACTACTAGTACTACTACTACTACTAGGACTAGTACTACTACTACGACAGTACTACTACAAGTACTAGTACGGCTAGTCGTACTACTAGGTACTAATAAAGTAATAATGATTATACTCGGACTCGTGGCAGTGAGTATTGGTGAGAATTAGGACATGAGCGAATCCAAGACGAAGGCCATTGTCTTTGCGAAGACCAGGACCACGAAGACGACCGGCTCAGCGCTTGCGCTTGCCGGACGAAGGCGGCGGGCTCACCGGGTCCTTGCCCGAGCGCCCGGACCCGGGAGTCTTCGGGTCGGAGCGAGCCTTCCTCTTCGGCGTAGCCGGCGGGGGCTGCTGCTCGGCCTCCTTGGGCTTCGAAGGCGAAGTCGAAGACGAGCCTGATGGAACCGCCTCGAAGAAGAGGGGCCTCTCAGGACCCGCCTCGGCCCCATTGTGCTCCATGACGTGGGTCATGGGGATGCTGATGCAGCCCTTCACGAAGGCCGTGAAGAAGAGGTGGGGGCCCTTCATCGGGAACCCGCGGATCTCCTTCGGAAGCCGAAGGCGAATGTCCGTCTTCAGGTACCGCACGACCCCGAACGTCGACTGGTCCCCGTCATCGGCGGCATGCTCAAAGTTCCAGTACTTGTAGAGCGGATGGGCGACGAAGTCCTGCAAGAAGCTTCAGGCCGGCCAAAAAAAACAATCCAGTACATAATTAATTAATGTAAGGCTGATATATAGGTATTTTAAGTACCTATTTAGACCAGAACATCCCCGTCCTCCCAGGTCTCGCATACCGGCTCCGAAGACGAAGACCAAGACTTGAGAGGACTGTCCG